AGTAGGACTTTTACTTTCTTTATCCACAATGTTCACACAGTAGTGTCCAGAGCTGGTGAAGTCCAATTGCACTGGCTGGTTAAACATCATTGCTCTGTCTATTTCCATGTCCAGAACAGTTTTTGCTCTCTTTAGTGACGTTTTACTCAAAAGCAGTGGGATGTTGGCCGGAACGACTTCTGTTTCGATGTTACATCGTGTGTTGCCAATCTTGGCTGGTATCTTTATCTTTTTGATGGAGTACACTATTTTTCCATCTTCAAACTTAAATGGCCTGTGGCTTTTCATTTCTGTTTCTCTCATAGTCTTTACCCCTTTTTGCTGCAGTGTAGCTCTGTAGTTATCCAGCCATTCTTTACCACAAACTGTTCTAGTGCAAACAGTGTCTATTATTGCTGAACCAAAACTTTCTGTCATGAATATTTCAGCATCTGTTGGTGATTCTTTGGTGTACAGAGTAATATTGCATTCTTCCACATCTGTGTTATCTTCAGTGATTTTTATACTTTCTGCTTTATGTGGACAATCTTTGGCCCAGTGATAGGTACTTTGACACACAGCACACTTAGATCGTTTTCCATACCTGTCCAATGGGTTGGTGCCGGGTTGTGGGGACTTTTGCCATGAGTTGGGCCTCCAAGTTCTGCCTTTCTGTCTTTGTTGTTCTGTTGCAAACACTGAATCCTGCTTGATGCTCTCTGCTGTTTCAGTTTTTTTCTTATCACCAAATATTCTTTTGAAAGCGGATTTCATTTAAGCAAACGTCACATCTGGGCATGCTGTTAAAGCCAACTGCCTGTCTGTCATATCCAAGCACGAAGTATCCAAAAGCTTAAATGCCAGAACTGCATTGGGTAACTCCATTTTGTATTTTTTCATGCGCGAATAACGCTGTTCAAAGTCAATAATAAAATCCACCATGGATGTGCTTGCGTCTTTTTTGATCCGATCAAACTCTGAGTATGCTTCATATATCATGTCCTTTTCCTCTTTAAGGAACAAATTATCTAATTTATCCAACAACGTGACCATTCCAGTGTCTTTATTTAAATCATCTACCGGAATTTCCATAGCGGTGTCTCGCGCCCTCCCGGATAGCGCCAGAGCAACGGCGAGAGCTTGTTTCTTTTTTTCCAAGTCGGTAACTCTCGTCCACATATCGACTTCATTCTTCCAGCTTTCATAAGACTTTCCTTTTTCAAATGTTGGCGGAACTCTGTAGTTACTAACCATCCTCTGCTACCACTGTTAGCCCAAATATAACTTCACTTCTGGATGAGTTCGGGAGAGATTTTATTTTTTTCTTTCAACCACCAACATACAGCCAACGTCCTAACCTCAGAAGAGATAGCTTATCCTGCAGAGCCCCCTAGTGGGCTGGCATGATAATTGAACATAAACAAAAGACTAACACCACATCTTATTTAGGATTTTCCAAAACCAAATACGTGATGCTGAGTGGAAATAAAATGGTAAACATTGGGAAGGAGACAGAGATATGTGTGAAAACATTCTACTACATTCCTTTGGACTCCAATGCATCATTATTTAGTTCCTGTTGTGTTTTTTGTCAGTTGTGAAGGTGCAGCATTAACATATTTTATGTACTTTTTTAAAATTTACAGAACATTGTTGCTACTTCTTTAAATTCTCTTGGCTTTGTGTACAAAGACCTTTCAGAGAAGCCATTCTGTTATGTGGCATGCAGGCAAAAGTGCTACTCTGGGCGTTCTTTTCACATTTCCACCAGACAGAAACACGTGAAACCTTTCAATAAAGCATAATCTTTTATATGTTTTTAACTTGGTGCCCAAAATAAATCAAATCCACTCATTTCTATGCACAATAAAAATATATTTATAGGTTGAAATAATGAAAAAGAGGGCCGTAGATTGAAATAAACTTTATGTGGGTATCTTGCAATCCCATGTGTCAGAAAGAAATTGTACAAACATGAGCACAAAGTCATTTATTCATGGGAAATTGACATTTTTTTATTCTCGTTTTCCTTCAAACCTGAAAATGGAAAACTGGTGGCAAGCACAAAAATAAGAAAAAAAAATTAATAAATAAAAAGACCAAACCTTAAGACATCACGGGGTGCGAGGTGAAACATGGCATGAGGTTTCTCTCTCCTCTCAGGAAATGAATTAGTCATTCTCTGTCTCATCTGGGATGTGAAGCAGCCGCATTGCCCCTGTGTGGATGGCAATATTAATTTAACATGACACCGCATTGATGGTCAATTTCAGTTTCAGGGAGGCTGTTTAAGTAGAGTGGTGGAGTATTAATGTGATAAGATGTTTGAACGGGGGGAGGCGACGGCACATCTCTCTCCCTCTCTCTCCGCTCTGCCATGTTTCATGCTCAGCCAGCCATCTGGACAAATCATCTCCCCACACGCCTCTCTCTCTTCTCAACTTTAGGTTGGATGTGTCTGAAAGTGTAAGTGAGAAGGAAGAAGGGATGATTGTCTTGTTTTTCTTCTAACTTTTTTCAGTGAGGGAATGTGTTTTGTAAATCTAATGTGTGTGCATGTAGCCCCGCACGCTTGTGAGGTGGGGCTCTGAAACTTCATGTAGGTGTGATGGTGGGTGTGGTGTGACCCCCCCCCCCCCCCTCACTTCGACTGTCTTATTGTTGTATTAGGTGTCTGTGATTGTATTGTTGTGTGTGATTTCTCAACATTTAGGTGTGAAATCTGCAGCTACATTTGGAGCTATAATAGCTTTTTCTGTCTTTATTAGCTCCTGCGTTTATGGCCATGTAAATATTTGTGTAGTGTACTGTTGAGACATGCGAAATGAAGAGGCTGGCCATGCGCGGACCCCCACCCCACCCTCATCCCCTGTCCCTTGTGTTTATGGACCTTGTTAGCACAACCTTGCCTTTCAATCTTCGTTACTGGCGTAAAATTCGATGTGTCGTACTTCCAGCTCACAGCAAGTGAACCGTGTATGAACGAATTAGTAATCTACACAAAGTGCTTAATCAAATCAGCGGCTGCCCCTGGAATAAATATTGTAGAATGTCTTGGGATATTCGCTGGCAGAGGGTGAGGGTTTGCTCAAAGATGAGTGTGTGTGGATATGATACCAGGCTGCCACTTAGACTGAAGTGTCACGCCACCATGAGTTCCACTCAAACTGCTTACAAGTTATACATTTTAATTCCTAAAAATCTTTTTAAATTATTAAAAAATAAAGTAGCTATTTGGGTTGTTTTGAAGGGAAGGTAAATAATGTGAAATAATTTACAATAGTAATGATTTTAGATGTTTTACCAAAATTATATTGAGGAATTGTCTCTATCAAGTAATGTTTATTTTCTGAGAACGTTCCGTTATCTGAAAGGCTCTTAAACTTTTCTCTATACAGCTGTGTTTTAATTCCATGCAGAAAAAAATCCTCTTTTAATAGAGCTTCATTAAAAAGACTTTAAAGAAGTAGCACATGAGAAAATAACCAATTCTTTACAATAGAAAGTTGAAAAAAAAAAACAACGTAAAAGGGGGACTTGTTCCTGTAGAGCTTTAACATCATGATTTGTTTTATTCATTTATATTTTTGATCATGTAACTGACCCTAAATAAATGCTAATGACTGCTGTTTATAGACATATAAAATGCAATTACTCTTGGAGGTTTTATTTGTGATGCAGAGATTCATGTAAAGGATTAAGTAAACTCTATAGCAGCTCCTTTGGATAAAAAATAAAACTAACCTTTGCAACACAGGAAAGTCACCTGCAGTAAATTACATACTGCAGTCTTACTGCTGTTTAACAGAATCCAAAATTGCTATTAATGCATTTTTATTTTGCTTTGAGAACCTCTACATTTACTCCTTAGTATCTATACCCATGAGCTGCGTGGATCTCACCGATGAGCAGATTATTTTTCATGCACCAGAGGTACAGCAGAGGAACCAAACAACTCTCAGATCATGAAGAGAAGATGAAAAACAACATGATCTACGATTGAAGTTTAGCATTTCTACTGGGATACCAGAAGGAGGATCACTGGGGTTTTAGACATTTTGGATCTGAGAAACTAAAGGAAAACTGGTCAAAACTGATAACAGGATCAGTAAAGCATTTTGTCAGCAAATGCTGGGGAGGGGGGGATTTGGTGTCATTTGATTTAGAAGCTGCTCATTATACAAAAGATGGTTAAAGTTTATCTTTGGGTCCAACAGGGCAAAAAAGGAAAGGCTCAATAATGGCCATTTGATTCTCCCGATCAAAGCAAACCCCTTTTAAGGGGTTATTGATAATAAAATTGTTATTAAATGAATCTTCTCATCCACTGGTGACAGTTTTTTTTTTTTTTTTTTTTTAAACACAGGTATTATTTAAGAAAATGCCTGTTAGAAATTAGTATCAGAAATTCTTCCACAGTATGTAAAATTATGAGCACAGTTGCCTATAAATGATAGACTGTCATTAAATGGGGTGTTTTTTATATATACCTATAGGGCTCTCTTAAATGTCCAAACCATCAAGATCAGAAAAAGTGATTTTATTATATTTTGTCGTCTTTAGGTTGAGCTAGTGGCTGTTCATGCATCACATAGATGGTACAGGCTTCTGCCCTCACTACTCTGTGGTTAAATGATGGATGGCAGAGAGAAGCTTTGTCACTCTCTCAAACGCTACCCCGCCCTCTGGACTTATTAATGACAATAATTAGGAGGAAACCTCCCTGTGAAGCCCGCCAGAGTGATTAGTGCTTTAATGATGGAATGGGAGGTAGAGAGTGCACCCAGAATTGATTTACGTATTCGCCCTGACCTTTGGAATCCAATTTACACATCCACAGGCAGAGAAAGAGTAGGTTAGAGATGAAGGAGAGTGACAAGGATAGATAGAGAGTGAAAGAAGAGCCGCTTGGCACTTGAAGTGGGACTGTAGTTTTTATAGGTGCCAAATTAGAGTTTTTTTTTTTTTTTTTTGTCTGATTTGTCTTTTTCTCATATTTTGGTATACGATTTGTTTTGCAGGGTCTAAGCCCTTCATGTGTAAGATCTGCAACTTTGCTACTGCTCAGCTGGGAGATGCCAGGAACCACGTGAAGAGGCATCTGGGGATGCGAGAGTACAAATGTGACATTTGCGGGTGAGTGATGAGAAACTGTTTTTATGTAGTGTAAAAAAAACAACATATCCACTAAAATAAAATAAAGTTAGCTAGCTTCCTTCCTTCCTGAGTTACAGGAAGATACATTTTGATGGGAGAATGATCTATATATAACATGAATTAATCCCACTTTTAGTTACAGTACATACACAACGGCTGCCATAGTTTCAGCTGATTTGTTAACCTGGTGAAGAAAGTTATGATGAAAGCTCTGATCCATGTGAACTATGATGATCAAGGTTGTAGTCTCTTTAGGTTGTACTAGTTTTGGATTTTTTTTGCATATTATAGAAAAATGTCCCCCCCCCCAGATTAAACGTCAGCCATTAACTCAGGCTCCAGAGAAAAGTTTTATTAAATGACTGTTAAAGAAGGACCTTTACAACTGTTTTTGAGCTGCTTAATTGCAGCTTATTTCATATGGACAACTAGCAAAACTCTACATCAGGTCATGCACAGGAAAATATAGACCTTATAAATGTTATTAAATGTAGGTATTTATCACTGATTATGTCAATGTTTACAGGGAAAGACACGTTATTAAATGCTGCACTTTCCTCTCTGTCTCTAATTGCTCCATTCGCTATACTTACATCCTCCAAGTTTGGTATCCCGCCTTTCATGCTGACGTATGTTCAGCTCAGCTTAAACAGTAGTTAAATCTGGATATTGAAAGCCAAGCGCAAAGTCAAAGATGCAGAATTGTAACATTTTATTTGTTTTTCTAGATGACTGAAAGAAAGCTTAACTAAATTTAGCTTCTCAAAACTCCTTAGCAAGCTAACCTGTTGAAAATGTAGAATTATGCAAAGTAAAAACATCTTATAGGTTGTGTCTGATTATTTAGAAAAAATCAAATCATAAAGCTTTAGAATCCCTTTGATGCTGACCTCTTAAAGCACTTTTTTGGGTAAAATGTCCTCTGCTTTCAATGAGCTTATTAGTTAGTGACTTAAGTTTCACACAATCATCATACTTGTGTCGCCCATTTAATACAAATTGAACACGTGCATAAGTTTCCTGCATATAAGTTTAAAGATGTGATAAAACCTGATGGCCCAACCTTTTGCTTGCAGTCAAAGTGAAGCACTGTTTAGATGATTTAAGCATGTGAATTTGCTTGAGTTTAAGGATTACAAATGAAGCCCTGGACATGAAAACTTCAAGGCTGTCAGCGTATATCTGTTTGTGAGAATTTTATTTTGAAATTAGAAAGGAAGTTATTCTTGAGTCGCCTCATAATGATGGAGGCGATGGAGAAGGATTGCCTGTTAGTGACTTTTAGAAATGGTTTGAGTGACAACTGGCTAGCCGTTGGCAGCTTATAAAGCTAACGATGCAATCTGTTTCTCCTCCAAGGATGTATGGTTTACAGTTTAAGGGCTTCTGGACTGCAGTTCATCACCTCCTGTTCAATGGATGAACAACTGGAAAATTAAACCTATGACAATAAAATATTAGAATTTTTTCTATTCATAAAGGTGTTTCCCAGGAGGTTGGACCCCCTGTGAAGGTTTGATTAACTGTAACGGACAGACTTTTCTAATCTGGACTGAAAAATTAGGTCGGATTAGATCATAAAAACTAGAATTCATAGTTTTCCCTAGAACATTTCACAAATCTCGTCCTGAGGACCGAGTAGCTTTGATTATAAGCTCCTGTCGGTAGATGACTTCTTTATTATTGCTTTACATGGCAATGATTTTGATCAAGTTTTTATTTAGGATAATAATCTTCATCCGCGTCACTATATTAATCTGCTATAAACATTATTGAAAATGCTAATCTATAAAAGTAAAACGCTTTATATTATGTATATTTTTATACACTTACATCCAAAAAATACCATATATATGCACTGATAATATGTGAAAGTGGGATGTTTGGCCTTCTGTGTAAAGACAAAAAATACTCTTCATCATTTTTCCTTCCAGCATAAGGTGAATGAGATTATTTTGCCAGCTGTACAAATAATCCTAATTGGAAGTTTATGTAGGTTACAACAAGGCTATAAATACCCGGTGGTTGTAGAGTACGGCTGTTACCACGGTACCCCGTACCCCCTGCATGTTGACCATATGTTGTGCTCAGCTCCTTGCATTCCCGTGGTAGACCTCCTCACAGCTTTGCCATGTTCAAATAAACGTGTTAAGCTGTTTAACACGAAGCCGGGGAATAGAGGAGATTGTGGGATTTACAGCTTTTTTTTATTTATCTAGCTTTATTCTTTTATTTTTATTTTTTTCTTGCCATGATCTTCTGCAGACGACGTTGTCTGAACATACATGTAGATAGAGGGATTGTTAGTTTCCTCCACTGCTTCTGTGTAAACGGTTTCATTTGGTCTGGTTGCAGGCGGATCTTTTTTTTTTTTTTTTTTGTTCCTCCAAAGCTGAGCAGAGCAAATGTGTTTATTTGCTCCCGCTGATGTTCGCAAACATATTACAGCAGGAGCCAACAAGCTTTGCTTTAAACACAGCATCTCCTTTAATGAGAGGAGAGACTCATGTTTCACAAGCTAAACCGCCCCCCCCCCCCCCCCCCCCCCCCCCCCACAACTGAAAACCCACTTCTCCCAAGTGCAGCAAATATGTTGTGCTTTGACCAAGCGTCCTGCTTTACACACACACACGTACAATCGGAGCGGTTCTCCAATATGCTTTTAAATGGGACTACTAAATACAACCCCTGGTTTCACAAATCATGCGGCTGTAGGAGCTGCGTGCTGCCAGTGCCAGCCACCGGTGACAAATCGGCCCTGTGTGTGCTTTCAGGACTGACTGATCACCAGGCCATCCCTCGACTTGACTAAAGAGCAGCAAACACAAAGAAACTCCCAGCAACAACCTCGTTAAGGCCAGAGCCATACATACACATAACCCGGCTTCGCTTTCTTCTTCTTCTTTTTTTTTCCCACCCAAAGTTTCTACACTTTGATACCCTAATCTGAATGTAAAGCACGTTGCTAATAGATGGCCATGGATCAGGTGTAATGTGTGACGTTATCGGCCGTTTTAGTTTATTTTGGGTGTCCCAGAAAAGAGGGATCATACTGCGATTAAACGGCGGATACGGATGAAGCGGGGAGGCTTTTTACTTCAGTAAACGGATGTTTCAGAAGGTTTTTAAGAGCAATCACACTTGATCATGTCAATTAACATAACGTTTTGTTTGGGCTCCTTTTTTATTTTAGGCTATACAGCTTTATGGTTTCATTATTCATTGATGAACTTGCATGTTTCCTTTGCATCTATGTTGTGTGGTGTTTATGGTCATCCGGTTTGGGCGCTTCTAGGCTTGAATCAATTTATTCCCCTTTTCCTAAATAGAAAGAGGAAAACCGATTCCTCCATCTCCATCGATTGCCTCGTCTTCCTTGTTAAACACCCAGACTGGAAGATTGCCTTGCCTCTGACTCCGAATGAACGGACGTGCCACCCCTCGGCTGTCCAACTCACTTTAGCAGCTGCCCACTGCCGCCGTTCTCTTCTCAGGAACCTAAAGGGAGTTGTTGATAGTTAAAGATGATATTGTTTTGGCATTTAATTAAGAAATGCAAATGCAGGGCCACGACAGATTAGAAGCCTTGACCAGACTGCCAATCAAAGCTGATTACTGTGGTCAGCGTCCTGCTCGCCATTCACTACACAGGCTTTAGCTGCTGTTTGATTGTTTCATTAGCTTCTTAGTTGGCAGGAGTATTCATTAAACTTTACACCAATTTAAATGGATTGAATTTGGCTTTTGGAGGGAAAATAATACAAGGTTTTTAAAAACCTTTTACAATTCATAATAAAAAAAAAGCCAAGGTGCTTACAGTAAATGAGAAGTAGCTTTTCCATTAGGGGAATAGGTGGATTGGACGACTATTATCCGCGGGAAGAAAGCCACAAGTAGCCCATTTGGAATAAACAAGGAAGAACAGGTGGAAAAGAAATGCTCTGTTCAGAAAGGGGTAAAATTAAGCTCTGTGAGGCAATAAATTATCACTATCGGGGACAGTGGCGCCTCCAGAAATGTTTCATAGGGGGGCCGGATGGGGCCACTAAAAATCTTGGGGTGGCCACTGAAACTAAAAGCCATAATTTCAGGGTTTGAATCTACTATTGTGGAAAACCTGCCTGTAGAAATCATAAAGTAAACACCTACTTATATCTTGGTTTATTGCGTGATTTTTAATGTTACGTCGCCGGCTGTTCATGATGGGATGAAATACTAAACTGATGCTACTACAAGTTGGCATTGCACAGGTTGCCTGTAGTCACCCCTGGCAACCCCGTAGCAGCACCACTGGTCAGAGATGGTAATGATGAAAGCCTTAACAGCCAGCTTGTATGATTACATCTAAACATGCTAAAGAGATCAGCATATTCCTCTTTAACTCAACTCTGAGATCAGTTTATTAGAATAAAAGGGGAAAATAATGCAGCTTTAATATTAAAGAACATTGATGACGACAGGGTCTAAAGTTTCATGAGAGATCTGTTATGGAACCGCAAAATGATGCAACATTTGAAATGCCTAAAGTTAAAAGTCTCACCAAACAAGCAGCATGTACAGGGTCACGATGGGGGTGGCGTGATACGTGCTCCCTGGTTGGTGCACTGTCCTGCCACAACGGCTGATAAATGCCGTGGTCAGAGTAAAGAATCGAAGAACCTTAAAGATGATCTGCATATGATCCAACTGAGGTTGAGTGTTTTTGTATTGATAGGATTATAAGCAGGTTCTACTCAGTATTAAGTCTGGGGGATGATTATGAATGCAGGCGAAACACCTAAAACAAATCACCTTTAATTTTTCTAGTCATGTGAATTTTTTGACATGTTATCCCCACAGAAAATATTAAAATATGTGGCTGTTCTCTGATAATATCAAATAAAAAAGGGTGTGAATACTTTTTGGAAGGTATTGAATGCACCTACTTTCTTACCTATCTGCTTACTTTTGTTTTTGTTTTTGAAAAGCCTTATTTGTCT